CAAACGCTCCGGAGGGGCCGGGGCAGAGCCCGCGGCAGCCCCGCGGCGCCGGGCGGTGCGAGGGGCCCCAGCCCTGCTCCGGCCCCGCCGCCCCAGCCCTGCTCCGGCCCCGCCGCCCACCGAGTGTCACTGTCGAGCAGCGCAGCGCAGCGCAGCGCCCGCCGCCCCGGGCACACATCGCCGGCACACCGGAGCTCTCCGGGCCCTGCGCCGAAACTGTGACCTCCTGCTGAAAGCTGATCCCGGACTGAGGCTTTAAAGGGAAAAGAAAAATCTTCTTTCTGTTGCACGTGTCGTCAAACAAAGCCGTGTCTCCAGAAGCGCCCGCCGCTCAGTGCGAGAAAGCAGCGCGGCAAGACCGGCTCTTAGTACGTTCCCCGCATCTTTCTTTACCAGCATCAGGGGAACATAGACAGGTGTCCCACTCCTACGTAAAATGACACGACTACATTATCTGTATTGGATCTGCATGCACAGAAAGCAGGCTGCCAATAGATAAGTAAGATTTCTTACTGGGAAATCACTCGCTCATCATCCAGATGTTCCTTATTTTAAAAGTCCTATTAAGAATAGTGGAAATTTAGGATTGAAACCAACCATGTTTTTCGTGAGTTTGTGCAGGGCTAAGACAATTCCCTGGTAAAGGAGAACGGGTCTGGGACCTCTAATCTCAGAGCTCAGTCACTTTGGCGGTGTTTGCAAGGGCAGAACAGGCATTCCTCCCTTCAGCCAAGGGGCTGGTGCAGAATAAACCTCCTTGGCCTCTCCCACAGCCACCAAGCTTGTCAACAACAGGACACAAAAGAGAAAATCAATAGCTGTGGCTACTATTTTAGAGCCTTGCAAAATGTAGAGCACCTGGTGGCTTTTATATAATAGATGATAAGTAATAACTTCATAAAAATGAAACAGCATACGGAGGGTTTATGGCAAATAATAAAGATTGTTTTCCTCTTTTGTTTTGCATTGACATGTTATTTTTATGTGCACCCAGAGATTAAAAGACTGATGTTAGCAACAACAGCATTGTGTAAGACAACTGTCTTTCAGAAATATGGCAAGTTTTGCTATAAATTGTTAGTAAGAGAATTCACAAAATTTATCACTATTAGAACCACCAGAAAAATAAGTGTTGATGACAGGATAGTACTAAAATAGAAGTGGAGAGAGGCTCTTTCGGTTAGAGATAAGTTTATTGACCAAGATTCAGGTCTGGATGGGACAGCTCGAAACCCCAGGTGTCTAGTTCCACCCACAGTAGAAAACATGCAATTTGTTTGACTTGGAATGACACCATACAGATGGACAGGATCTGGTCACTTGAATTTGTTTTCTTACCTTCTCTGAGAAATTTTCAGATGTTAAAGTTGAGGTTCTCTTTTCATGTCTGTTTAATTGATTTTTTTTCCCCTAGCTTCTGCGAGATTGGACATAATTTCAGGCAAATGTACTAATTATCAGGTTATTTCTCTAACAGTACTTGTCTGTTTGGTTTTCAGTGACTGCATTTGAATAATTGGGTTGACTTTCTGTTGCTCCCAGTACATAGCCTCAAGTCTATTTTTGTACCTATACCTTCTTTTTTGATTTAAAATCGAGTACAGACATGACCTGAAGATCCAGTTTTGTGAGATGCTCGGAACCGTGTTGGTGTGATCACTTTCCTGCAGACTGCACAACTGAAAACAGATGGTGGCCTGAAAGATAAAACTCTTTTGGTTCATTTTCTGGTCAAAGACTAAAGAATGAGATGGGTTTGGTAGCTGTTTCATTTTCCTTGGGTACAGGAGCATACATATTCCCCTATGGCGTATTATGTTGTCTTACAAGTCATACTGTAGTGAAAGTGTCTGTGGTCGAGCCTGTGATGTGTATATTAGCCAGGATTGATTTAGGTACAGTGACAGGATTTTCTGTCTTTATTCTGCAGTGCTGATTAGCTCCATCAAGTCTGTAGTGCCACAGCTGTAACAGCAGCTTAGTCAATGGATTGAGGAGAAACAAAATGGCAAAATCTATAAGCATTTTTCCATCTCCCTGCTGGGGTAGTTTTCTGACAATGTGTTCATGGGTGTTTGATCTGGTCTGACTTCAGTGGTTGCAGCAGAGGGCAATCCGCAGCTCAGGTTCCCTTGACCAACTGTGAAGATTTCTCACAAGTGAAGAAATTAAAAAAACACCAGGACCAGTTTTAAAACTAGCTGCTATTTCAGTATAGACAAAACCATGGGGACCATGTGTTTTGTTATTGCTATATTCTGAGGAGGTATCTGCTTTTGTGGTTGTGAGAAAGATTGTGAATCCTAAAGCACAATGTAATAGCTCCCCTTTTCTTTTGAACAGGTTAGACTGGGATAGAAATATTTCAGCTAAATTTCAAGTAAAATACTTCCAAGCACAATGATCCTGAAAGGCAAATCAAATGTTGATACAGTTGAAGCATGATGAGTTTTAAACATTAGAAGAAAATGGAATGAGGGTTTGGATGTTACCTTATATACACAATGTGTTTAATTTGTTCCTAATCAAAACAAAACTCCCTGGACAGAATATGAATTGTGAAATAAAGCTTATTTCCCTGCAAGCGACTAAGCCATGCAGCCAGCTTGTGGGGGCATTCAGAGAAGTTGGCAAAATGAGATGCTTCAGGAGAGATGCAGAATTCAATGTACAGTTTCCATGAGGGAAAGCAGAATGGCAGCAGCTCAGGGAGTGAATGTACAGGCCATATAAGGCAAATAAATGAACTGCTGTAGAGATGCCATTAGCAAAGCAAACACTGACTTGGGGACCTTGGCATATATCATGGAAGAGATAAATTGCGTGAATAAATTCATGCTTGTTTGCTTCTCCCTAGACTTCCAATGCCAATTTTAACTGAGAAACAGTTTCCATGTGTGAAACAGAAGTTTTTCCACAGTCATTTTAATGCCAGGCAATTTCTACCCATGTCTGATCCCAACACATGCCTAATTTAGACATATTTATCACAGTTTCATTATAACCCAGGCCTTTGGCTAAGAGAAGAATGACAGACCTCAGTCTTTAAACAATTAAACAACTATTTAATAACAGTACTCAATTCATCTCTTTCTTTACACCAAGAGCAGAGTTCCATTGGCACAGTGTTAGCTTAGTATCCCTGTCATTTCAGGCATTGGTAAAATGAATAGCAGGGGTAAAACACCACACTGAGCCAAGTGAAGGCATGTGAGCAGTAAACGAGGAGTGTCTACACTCTCCAAAACGTGCACAGCTCCTTGCAAAAGTGGAGACCTGAGAGCTTGTGCATGCTTGGGGGTAGAGGCACAGCACCGGGTGGAAAGGTGGTTTGAGGGGAGGATGATGGAATGGTATGCTGTGGAGCAGGCTCCAGCTCTCAGCTTTGGGAAAGTCATACCAGCTCACTTTCTGTCAGACACCCCGTGGGCACATCCACTTTCATGTTTTGGTGTGGATCAAGGGTGTGCTTTTGAAGTGAATCTCCAGATCATCCTCACTTACCATGTTTTATTTTGCCCAGCAGAGGTGAGTACACTGAGTGGATTCAGACAGCAATATAGCAGAAGACAGGTTCCAGGTGCCAGGAGTGCATCAGATGCGGTCTGAGTTCTCATGGGGCCTTCAGTTCACAGACCCAACCTGGAGTGAAACTGAAGAAAAAACTATGGAAAAGTGTGACATCACTTAGGCCCTCGACACCATGAGATCCAACACCAGAGTGATCCACATGACTTGCTAATATAGATGTATACTAGGTGGATGTGGCCTAGGGGTAGTCAGCTGTGGGTATGGCTGCTTTGGGGTTTTGCCTTCATTGTCTTCCTTGTGGAGTATTTTATTGCATATATTCTAGCATTCAGCTCACATTTAACTCACTTTTTGATTTTTTGAAGCATGTTTCCTTAAATACACTTGAAATGTTAGGGTGGAAAACTTCATCATGCTAGATACTTTCCAATCCATTTCTTATCTCTTGAGAAAGAATGCATTTTCAGTTATATTCTGATTTTAAGACTTTGTATTACAGGGAAAAAAATGGAAGTCTAATTTTAAAAATACAATAAAGTGGCTTTGTAATTCAATTCTGAAAATAGCTGCTGTTACTATTAAATGGTGTAAATGCAGACTGAGAGCAATAAACCTCACTTCCATTTAGCATGAATAATATTAATGAATGGTGTTTAAATTACATGCCAGGACTGTAAAAGAAACATTACCAAAGAGACTTTGCATGTCTGGTGCTGACACAATTTAAACCTGTCATAAAATTGTCTTGTATCTGATAAATATATTCATGTTTCTGGGCGTAGAGGAAAAACCAGAATGGGAAATGTCTTTTTCTCCCAGAGGCTCTCTGTGCAGAAGGCAACCGCTCCTCAAAACTTTCCTACTTAAGACACTCTGGGAAAGGGCTGAAGCTCCTGTCTCTCCGCTTGACCTAACCCATCCGAGAGGAGCTGCTTGGTACTGTGATCACATTTGCTCTCGCTGTAGACCAACTCGGGAACTGTTGCGATCAAAATGCTGGATCAGCATCTCGCATGCAGAGACAGACACAGTTCTTATCACACGCACACCATCAGGAGATTTTCCCATGTAAGGACTGCAGCCTTCCCCCTTTCCTTCAAATGCTCCTTCTTCGCTGTCTTTCCCCCCCCTCTTCTCTCCTGCTCTTTCCTCCTCTCCGTCCCCGGCTTCACCACCCCTTGCACCCCGCACTGAGCCTCACAGCCCGGCGACGCCGCAGCGCTCCCCGCCACCCCCGCACCGACCCGGCCCCGGGACCCGAGACCCCCCCGTCGCAGTCCAGGGCGGGCTCGGGAAGCCGGGACCCATCCCCGCAGAGATCCCGCGGGGCCGGGACCACCGCCCCGCCCCGAAAGGACTCGGGGACGCGCCCCCGCTCTCCTGTTCGCCGCTCCCCCGCCGCCGCCCGGCCCCTCGCCCCCGGCCCCGTCCGCGGCCCCGCAACTGCGCCGACCGCGGCGGGTCCCGCCCGGGGAGGCGGTGGCGGGGAAGGGGGAGGAGAGGCGGCGGAGTGCGCTGCCTCCCGTGGAATCAAACGGGGGGAGAGAGGAACGCGGGGAGGAAAGGACGAGCCGGGCTGGGGAGGGTCCCGGTCCCGGTCCCGCCCGCCTCGGAGCACCCGCGTCGCCTCCGCGCCGGGACCGCGGGTAGAGTCGCTTGGGGCGGCCGCCGCCCGCCGGCCCCGCGCCCATGTGCTCCCGGCAGCCGCGGCGGGCAGCCTCCACGCCCGGCGTGTCCGTAAGTAGCCCTTCGCTCCCCGGCACCGCGCCTGCCCCCATCCTGGCGCTCCTAGACCCTTCGCCGCTCCTGCTCCTTCCAGACACCGACTCTCCCGCACTCCCCTGCCCCTCACGGACCCCCTGCACCCCCTTCCTTTCTCTAGCCCCTGCCCTCTCTCGCTGCCGGTACGTTGCATTCCCTTCCGACTCCGGATCCTCCAGCCTTCAGAACGTCCTTTCCCTCCCCGACCCCTCCCTACCCTGCACTGCCACATCCCCTGCATCCCCGGACCCTCTTTCTCTCCTCTGTTCCCTTTCCCCGCTCTGACACCCAGCCTAGCCGCATCCCTTGCCCGTTGCACCGGACCCTCTAGACTCCCTTTCCTGCTCGGCTTCCCAGCCCTCTCATCCTCTTGTCTTCCCGAATCCTTCCTCTCCCGGGGCTCCGTCTTTCCCTTATCTCCCTGCCACCCCGGACCGCTTTCCCTTCCCGGCCCCGCAGTTTCCCTGCTCTCCGTCCTCTTGGGTCCTGGGATTCCCCACACTCTCGGCACCTCTGCCTTTCCAGCCCGTCTCCGGCCGCATCTCCTTTCCCTCCCATTCTGCTCCTCTTGGACCCCCTGTCCCCACAAACCCTTCTCCTCCCTCGTCTCCTGCCCCTCTCGGATCCCCTGCCCCTCTCAGGTTCCCTGCACCCCAGCCCGCCCCGCCCGGTACTCCCCACCCTGCCGGCTCCGCGGGCGCTGCGCCCGCTCGCCCGCAGTTTTTCCCTGGCATCACCCCGGCGAGTTTTGGTTCCTGGCCGCCGCCTTCCCTCGGGGGAAGCCGTATCTCTCCGCCGCCCCCTCCTACCCCTGGCGGGCGGGGAGCGGGGTTTCGGGGCCGGAGGGGTGAGCCCGCCTCCCGGGAGAGCGCCCAGGCTGTGAGCTGGCAGGCTCCAGGGAGGCAAAGCTGCTGCCCCGCTGGAGCAGCAGGATTTGCCGGGTCATACCCTGGGACACTCCATGTTGTCCCCTATTTCCAGACTTATCTCCTCCTTCGATTCAGGGAATGATCTCCCCTAAGTGCTGACACACTTTGGCTCAGACTTTTGGTGCCACGCCAAGACACAGACAGATCCTTCTCTAGATGATGCTTCTAAAGAAATGGTGCCCCCTCGCCCATGCGTCTCTGCCAGGTTTTTATCCCCAGGGGTTTGGCGGTTTGCAGGTTGAAAGACATTTCTGTGGATAGGCTACGGGTAGATAGGTGAACACTTCTTCAGTAGCAGTATAGGCCTTTTTAATATTACAGAAGAGACTTCCTTTTCTTAGTGTTTTAAAAGTAAACAAAACTTTTGGGTAGTACACATGGCTAATTTCACTTACAGACTTTCTCTAAGTTCCCTCCTTGTGCTGAAGTAGTATTCATTTTATTGCCTTTTCATGAATTGGATTCACTGATTGGCGTCTAATCATGCTTAGAAGAAAAAGCCCCTGTAAATAGCTATCAGAATTAATTTGGCAGCAACTGTGAGAAATGATCATAAATTTACAAATACAGTTAGAATAATGATCCAACATGAATTTAACGACAAATACACCCCCAGCCTCTGGGAACAGCATGTAGGTTTCTGTGACAGTAAAATGTACTTGGGCACACTGATACGGAGCTGAGAGGCTGGGAGTTGTCTGAGAAGGATACAAAGGGGTTGTGGCTCCTGTGTTTGAGCTGGGAAGAGGCAAAGAAGAGCTGGGCTGAATGCAAGCAGAAATATTAAGAGAGACCTCTGTGTTTTAACTGTGGGCTTCTTGAGGTTGTGTAGCGGTGAAAAGATGTGGCAATGTCTTCACTTACCAGAAGCCCACTTGGAGTTTGGGTTCCTGGCACTTTGGAACATCAAGTGATAAAAGGCTCCTTTTGCACAGGGATGCCAAACAACTTGGAGTGCTGGGAAACATGTCATCTCATATCACTTCTTTTGGGACTGTGCTAATAAGTTTTACCTGTGTCACAAGAGTCTGAAGTTGAAATGCCTTAGCCACTGTGGGTGGTTTTGCACTGAAGCTGCAGGACCATCTATAACGTGAAGTACATTCTCCAGGCATTGTAGGAGGAAGGTCTAGTGAACTGAGGATAAGAAAGACCTTATCTGTTTTTTCTATTGGTGCTGGAAAGATCGGGACTTACAGTGGAGAAAAGAGAGGCAAGTACACAGGAGACCCCTGAAGGTGGCTGCAGAGCATTCCTGGATGTGCACAGCAGCCTGTTCCAGCTGGGCTGCTGGCCACCACCATCACACTGACCACAGAAACTGGTGTCACTGAGAGTGATTTTAGGGTCTGCTTGCAAGGGTGGGACAGAAAAGTGACATGTGACATGTCTTATCCTAGGAAGGAAAAACGTTCTGGCAGATAAATATTTTTTTCTAATGTCAGCGTTACTGAACTTGTATTTTTCTTCTCTTTTTGTGTTTTGTTATTTAATTAGGGACCTTTGACTTCATGATGGGAGGAAATATCCCCCCGCCTCTTTGGATCCAAGCTTCTCCCAGTGTGAGGATTTGTCAAGGCTGAGAGATTCCGGATTATCCATAAAGCTCCTCTAAAATACAGTTACTTTTGTCTTCCCATCTTGTGGGGTCTTGGAGCAGACACAAAGATGGCCTCCAGCCTCACCTGTGCTGGCATCGTCTGGGCCTTCCTCTCCTTCCTCTGTGCTGCTGCCTCCTGTGTTGGCTTCTTCATGCCCTACTGGCTCTTGGGGTCTCAGCTGGAGAAGTCTGTTTCCTTCGGCACTTTCCGGAGGTGTTCCTACCCGGTGCGGGATGAGAGCCGCCAGATGACCGTGATGGTGGAGCAGTGTGGCCGCTATGCCTCCTTCCAGGCCATCCCGAGCGCCGAGTGGAGGATCTGCACGGTGGTGACGGGCCTGGGCTGCGGGCTGCTTCTCTTGGTGGCCCTGACAGCGCTCATGGGCTGCTGTGTGTCCGAGCTCATCTCCAGGACTGTGGGCAGGGTTGCAGGAGGAATCCAGTTCCTCGGGGGTAAGTGCTTTTGTGGTGAGGGGATGGGGATGTCCAGGCTGTTTGTTTGCTTGTGTGGAGACTCTTCTGGTGCTTTGGGAAGAGGAGGGGGTGATTCAAAGTTTCTCCTAGCAAGGGAGACCGCTTGGCTCCCTCAACGACTGAGCTGCTTGTGTGGCTGCCTGAATGTGGCCCAAAGACACAGTGGCCTGGGCTCTCTTGTGCTCAAGTCCCTGTCTGGTCATTATGTGACCTTTGAGAGCTGCGTGGCAAGTCGACTTCTGTGGGCCAGCGTCTTCTCAGCAGTTTTGTGGATTGTAGTTTCCAGCACAGCATAGCTGAGTTGGAGGTACCTGGAGAAGCATGTGGGCTACAGATCCACATGAAGCATTGTGGTTTGGCAGAGGAGAGGCTGTGTTGTGTGGGAACAACCTCTCTTTCTCCTTCTTACCCCTGTTACTGGCAGAGCTTCCTCCAACTCTGCTCTCTGCAGCTGCACGTATCTGGCAACAAGCTTTGGCCCAGGTTTGAAGTGTGGGTTGTTTATTCCTAGTGGAGGTGGCCCACCATCTCCTGGGAGGAGCCCTGCTGGGCTGGCTGACCCATGCTGCCTGCCGATGGTGCCGCAGGTTTGTTGGCTCCATGGGCTAGACAGCGTGTGGGAGAATTACCTCCGCTCCTTTTTCTAACTTGTAATTGTGTGGCGTCTTCGTAACTGTAAGAGTATTTGAAGGGTATGAGACAATAAATAGGATCCACAAGCATGCTTTTACAGGGCACTTTTCCCAGTAAATCATCACCCTCTTGTCATCGGTGACATGCAGATCAGTGGCACTCACTTTTGCCTGATGCAAGCACTCCACCACACACACGCACCTGCCCCCATAAGGTAACATGTTTCTCTGAGCTTTGGGTGCTGAGGCAGTGCAGGTGCCAGCTTTTTGGGTGCCCTGCAGAATCTGGTCCCAGCCAGGCTCGCTGGCTCATGCCCCAGAGTAGTGGACTCTAGTGGAAGCCCTGTTTCTCTCCCTTCCAAACAGGCACTTGCCCTGCAAGGGCAGTCCGGTTACATGCCGCGACTGCAGCTTATAAGGAAGCACAAGACAAAAACTCCACTAACTGTCCAGCTTGGTGAGGACAGCCATGGCTGGGAAAGGGCCCTGTGCCAAGCCTTCTGCCAGATGATACCAGTGTAACTCCCTCCTGGCCACAGGGAGTCCTGTCTCCAAGTTTTTGAGTAGTTTGTGCACTTTAGAGCAAGCTGACCCCATCACTTCACCCTTCCCTGAGCTTTGTGACACACAGGCATTCCTGTGTTTAATCTGTCTGACAATTTGAAAGTGCAGCAGCTGCTGGAGAGTTAACTCTGCTGGGAGCTGTGGTTTCTTGAAACCTGCCCCATTATACAGTTCCAGCCAGGCAGTTGGGGGTGGAGGAGGTTCTCAGTTTGGTGACAATCTGCAAGCCCGCTTTGTCTGACTATTTTCACTTAGAGCCGTCACAGGCTTTAACCACCCCCTCTTTCCAACTGCTATCTTGGCTCATCTGGTTTTAATTTGCATTTGGCCCCTTTCTCGTGACCATGCTCCCCTGTGTGCCTGTGGAGCAGGGCTGGCAGGCAAGCTTACAGCTGTTTGCTTACAGCCACCCCAGCAAACACGGCAGCTCCAGCAGTGGGCACGTGGCCAGGGGATGCAGGAGGAACCCTGCTCCCCATGACATGGTGTGAGCTGAAGGCATGCACCCTTCTCTGAGGCAGGATGGTGGCTCCTGGAGAAGGAGCACACCATGGCAACCTCTTAAACTTGTCCAAGCTGACCAGGCAGCATCCCATCCTGCCTGGAAGGGCATGAGCAGCCAGTGCTTGTTCTCAGTAGGTGGCAGTTCAAAGAAACATGAACCTGTGATATGAAATGAAAATTGCCAACAACTTTGCTTACAGTTCAGAAATTAGTTACGCAGCATGTCTAATTTTCCCCTCTATTGGCTTTTATGGTTGTCTCTCATTTCATTCAGCACTGCTGGAAGTGTGTAAGAAAAGACCAAAGTGAGGACTGCCATTTCTTAACCTGCTTAAAACCTAACTGTGGAGGCACAAGGGAGAGGCCAGGTGGTGAAAGCCAGTAATTTGGATAAACTGAAGGGACATATTAGGGTAAAGAGGAGTTTCTTACATCCCTCATCAGATCCTTAGCTGCTATAAATCAGTGTAGGTTAATTGTTTAAATAACATGACTGCATTTACTCAGATGTCTAACTTAGGCACTATAATTATTATCTTGTTTTATGTCAAGATAGCCGTGAGCTGTTCACCTTATTTACAAGCAAGGAATGCCATCTCTTTGTTCCCTGTAATGCAGTTGTAGGTGTAGTTGTATACCATGATGTGGGCTTTGAATGTGGCTTGGTGGCAGCGCAGTCATTGTCATTTTAGTTGGTATCCACTTAGAGATCTAATAAAATAAAACCTTTATAATTTTTTTTAATTTTTTTTTATTTTTATTGTGAAGTAGAGCTCCCACCTAGCTTTATATATGGAAAAGCCTAGGAAAATAAGCAGCCACTGCTTATTGAGTGATGCTAGTAATTCATCCTCTGTGTTAGGACAGGGAGGTGGCTAAACGGTTTCACTTTCTTTTTGTTTCGGGCATCTGCACCCATACCCTGCTGGGGCTCTTGCTCCAGTGGCAGAGGATGAGTATTGGAATAAACCATATTTCTCTTGAAGTTAGAAACCAGCATAAAGACAGGTTCAGTGTAGCTAGTTTATGGCTTTTCTTGTGCTCCTTTTGTTTAGGATCCAAGTAAGTTTCTCAACATGATTTAAAAACACAGACTTTAGGAGGAAGTAAGCCAACGAATAATGGATTATTATGGGAGGCCCAAGAGCAGAGGAGATGTACAAGCCACTGAAGCTGTGGTGAGCCAAAGCTAAAACTTAGTCCAACACTAGAAGCATTTTTACTGCTATGAAGACGTGGCAGAGAGGTTTGCTTACCAGAGGTGGTAAGCAAACAGCCTGATCCTTTTCTTCTAGCACTGTGAAGGAGGAATAACTCCAAGTAGGTCAGTGGAATAACACCTGTAAAAAAGTAGTGCAGCTTGTGCTAGCTAAATGGTGCCAAGGTTTTATAGCTGGGATTTCCCCAAGTTGCATGTGGCAGATCAAGGGAGTGAATTATTCATGAGTGCTTTTACCATAAATCTGCTCTTCTGATAAAAATTGAATGGCAGAACCTGCAAGAAATTGCAGATCTAGGCAGAGTCAGAAGGGCTCTTTGGTTATTGCTTGTTCCTATGTACTTAGTCTGTGTTTTCTATTTCAGATGATCCTGGCTACAAAGTATCCATGTATTTTAAGGTGCCTCTGGGATGAAACATGTCACGTTTCTGTTCCTACTAGAAAGATTGCATCGTAGACTTTTCCTTCTGTTTTTAATTGTGGGAGCCATTTCCTTTCCCATACATGATCACGTGGCAGCTCTGTAGCCATTACAGCAATTGCTTGCATGAAAAGTGACGCTTTTAGCTTTTTCTAAGGCCATTTGGTGGTGGGTGACAAGAAGTGTCCAACACCCCAAGGCCAGCCTTTTCTGCAGTGGATGTCAGTGGTCTGCAGTCCACAGCTGGCAAACATCTACTGTGGTCTCTCAGACCATTCTTCCTGGGCATGTCTCTTGGGCTGCTTCAAAGAAATGACAACTGAGGTGGAAGTTATGCTGTCTGTAACCTCTTGAGGGCACAGTGATGTAGATGGATACAGTCTGCACTGATAACATTAAGTACAGTGTTTCCAGCTGGTTTCCTTTGTGTGTTTGGAAGGCTGAGGCATATATAATGTAGCTAGAACAGATTGTGAGGATGTAGCTTTGACCATAACTATTGAGGATATGACAGCAGGGAGTGAAGTTTAACAAATCTATCACAAATTGGAGTCTGTAATTATTGATCTTCTTTTCATTGTGCCATGGCAAGTCAATTCCACTTAAATGGAGAAACTAGAAATTTAAAGGGAGGTAGCTCAGACATGACATACTAATTTGGTGAATAGTTTCACTCTCTAAATGCAGAGCAATGATTTTAAGAACATAGCAATATTTTTAAGAACATAATGAACTTAAAGGTTAGCCAGTTTTATGAGAGGCAGTGGATCAAAAGGCACAAGTACTGCAAGGATGGTCAATTTAAAGAGCATTACACTGGCAAGATGAAGCTTTTCATTAAAGTGGTCAGCACGTGGGAATGAAATCTTCACTAGCTCAGAACTCCCTTTTGCTGGGTAGAGCAGCTAAACCACGCTCAGAATACAGATCTGAGGGAGCAAAGTGTGGAACAATCTGCTGGCTGAGACATCTCTCTGAACCTGACACCGTGACCCTGATTCTGAGTGCTACGTGAGAAGCGAACCCTTACATGATTATGGGGTAGCCATGTGGCTGTCAGCAACTGGCATGTTTACTGTCATCTTTATTTGCACTCTAAATTGCTACCCCCTTCATTAAATGAGCAAAGTTTTCAGCAGCATCTACTCTTCCTCTCCTTATTTCTCTGTCTTGTTTCCCTTGTGTCTCATGGAAGTGCTGAAAATCCTGAAACTATGGTCCTTGAAATTGTTGGTTAGAAAATCTGGAGAGCTCTTGGAGCAGGGGGTGGTGAAAGGCACATTTTTTCATTTGAGGAAAAGGTGACACAGTTCCTAACAACTTCTGATTTTGTCTCAGAAAATAAAATGTGGCCTTATGAAAAATGCTCTCAGGAGTGCATGAAACTGCTGGAGAATCCTTCTCCAATTGTTGTGTGCCAGTAGAGGCCATCACAGTTTCCATCAGCCATAAGGTGTTCAGGGCAAGTGTTTGCTGGGTGCAAAGGGCAAAAAAATATGGACTGATCCCTCAAGATGAGGAAAATGGCATATTAATTGCTGAACCTGACTTTGTGGGTGAGATGATAGTGAAATGTAAGGGACAGAGGAGGAAAGAACACTAGGTTGTGGCCTTGTGGGGTCATGTAGAGAAGCTCTC